AACGTCCTGAGGGGCTTTTTCGGCGCCTTGGGTGCCTCGGGGGGGCCTTTGTGGGCAGTTCGGGATCCTCTTTGGGGCCTCATGGGCGCTTCTTGGGGCCATCTTTGCCCCTTGGGTGCCTCTGGGGGGTCTCCTGGGGCCTCTTGGGGGTCTCTTGGGGGCCTCCTGGGGGCCTCCTGGGGGGCCTCTTGGGGCCATCTTGGGGCCATCCTGCGGCCTCTTGGGGCATCCTGGGGGCCTCTTGCCAAAGAAAGCGGAAGCACTAATTAGCGCCGCTCCTGGGAAGCCCCTAAAATCGCCTCCTGAACCGCTCTTGGAGGGTTCGTGGAGCGCTCGTGGGCGCTCTTTGCGCCGTCTTCGGGCTTTCCTGGGCCCTTCTTGGAGCTATATTGAGCCATCTTGGAGCTATATTGACGCCTCGGGTGGGCATCGGAAGCGAAAGCGCGAGAACGCCAAAAACATTGATTTGCCCGAGGGTTTTGAAACATGTTGGCTTCTTGGGGGCATCCGAGGGGAGCTCTAGTGGACACTTAGAACCGTCTTGGGGCGGTCTTGGAGCGTCTTGGAACATCTTCGGAACCATCTTGAGGCATCTTGCGCTATCTTGAACCATCTTGGAGGCGAGCTTGGGCTCCCTGAGGCCCTCTTGGAGTCGTCTTGGCTCATCTTGGACGCCCCAACGCGTCGCGGCCCCCCCTGTCCAGGTCAGCGGGGAGGGGGTGGGGAGAGGGGCAAACCCCTCCCCGAAGGGGGAGAAGGAGGGGTGAAAGAAGAAACGCTCTGAACCACCGACGCCCAGAGGGCTGGTGGGATTAGCTAGTGGGTGATGATGGTGATGATGACGATGGTGATGGCGACGATCCTGCTTTCCACGCGCGCACGCTCCAGTCCACTGCACTGCACAGGCGTAGGCGTAGGAGTCAGGGGGAGGCACGGGCATAGGCACAGGCATAGCCGCAAGAATTGCGGGGGGGGGGGATAGGAATTAGGGGGGGCAACGCCGCGGTGGTCGGGCGCGTCCCCCTACAGGGGGATTTTGGATGAAAAATGAAAAATACACCAAAATTCACACAAAAAAAAAGTCAAAAATAATCAAGTTTGGACTATGTTTGTACTATTTTGGTGCATTGCATTTTTTCGTCGAAAATCCCCCTGTGGGGGGACAGGCCCGACTTACTAGTAGGGTTTGAGTCCGCACTCCGTAGGGCAAGGACTCTCTGGAGGACGCTGAGACCTGCTCGCGCGTCCAGCGTTCTCTGGCGCCTCCCCGCGCGGCACGCCACGCTGGAGGCGATGCAACCCCCCCGCGCGACCGCGCGCGCGGGCAGCATCTCGCGCGCGCCTCTGTCGGCGAGGACAGCTCCGCTCGCCTTGCCTCGCCATGGCTCGGACGTCCATTCCCTGTGTTTTTGTTTTCGGTGTCGTGCGTGGTTTTTTCGCTAAATGATTAAGGATGCCCCTCGATGGTCCTCGCCGAGAAAAAATGCACACGTCTGCGCGATGCCAAATTGCTTGAGCGGCCCCGGTGCACGATGGCGCTTTTCTCCCAAAAATTAATTCTCCCGCGCCTTGAAAATTTAACCAAAAATAACTAATTACTGGAAACCGAAATTCTATCACTTTCCTGAAATTCCCGATATTACAAAAAACAAAAAACAAACCGCTTGAAAATCAGACCGCGAGTACGCCGCCCTGTGAAGCGATACCCCCGAGCCTGATCAACGCTGAGCAACGCCAAACATGGCCGTTGCTCTGCGCAAGGTGAAGAGAGAGATCGCAAGACGACGCTGCCCAGACAAATAGCGACCACATATTGAAATTGAAGCCGTGCCTCGACAACGATCGCGGGCCCCCCATCAAACGCTCCACATGGGCCGCGCGACGCCTCCCCCACCACACAAATGACAGCACAAGGATAATGGCAGCAGGAGGAGCAAGGGCAGACGAATGAGGAGGAGAAGAATGGCAGGAGGATAGGGAGGAGGAAGGGCAGGGGGCGGAGAAATAGGCGAGCAGGAGGGGGGGGTTGAGGGGCAGGAAGAAAGGGGGAGGAAAAGAAGCCCCGCCCCGCCGTCCTCGATCATCTCCTCACCGGCCGCGCATTTACATCTCACAGCGGCGGGGCGACGCCGCGGTGGTCCCAAGGCCGCGGGCGAAACTCCGCGATAAACCAGAATTGGTGCACGTGTCGCGCGGGCGTTCCTGGCGCCGCGCGCGGTCGTTCGTCCCATGTCCTCCGCTTCCGCGGGTGGCGAACATCCCTGAACGCCCTGCAAAACATATGGCATGGCCCCTGTAATGGCCGTTATCCCCCCCCCATCTCCTGGCCCTCTACTGTCTCGTCTTCTACTGCCCTACCGCCCTCCTCGTCTCCCTCCTCGAAGTCCGCGGGGGCGCCGCGAAGTCCGCGGGCTCGCCTACGCAGGCTAGCCTACGCAGCACCAGCCGCCGCGGCCCCAGCTGGGCCGTCGAAGGCCGCCGGGGCGGCCTCGTCAGGCGCGACCTCGAGGACAGAGCCGCCGGCGTCTAAGGACGACGCGACGCACGCCGGCAGCTCCGACCACACCCCCTTGTGCTGGAGTACGGTCTTCAGCTTCTCGGCCGCGCCCTGTGGCGAGATCGTCGCTTCGCTCGTCGTCCATCTCGTCGCCCGTGTCCTCCTCAACCTCCGCCGCCTGTCATCAGCCTCCTCCCGTTCTCCTCCGCCTCATCATAATCATCATCCTCCTCTGTTCGCCGCCTTCTCCTCCGCCATCGCCTCCCCCCCATCGTCTCACTCGTCCACTTCTCATCGTCGTCAGCGTCGCCATCGCGAGCCTTGAGTTTCTTCGGCCCCTTGAGCAAGGGGAATGCCCACTTCATCGAAAAGATGACGTACGTGAGCGAGATGGTGACCATGCCCGACCTCGCAGCCGTCCGTCTCCCAGCCACACACCAGCTCGGAGGTGAAGATGCCTGGGGATCGGCGGATCAAAACGATGCGCCTGTCCACGTCTCCGCACAACTCGGCCACGGCCTTAAGCTGCTTGTTGGCAACGAGCTGTTTTGCCATGGGGTGAGGCGGCGAGGCGAGCAACGCCTCCGCGACTGGCTTCCAGTCAGGCTGCCACTCCTTGATGCTCGCCGTCGCCGCCTCGAAGCCAGCTACCCACCGCTGGCGCGCGGGCGTCAAGCTGTTGTTCATCTGCGCCAGCGCGTCGCGGACCACGCGCGCGATGGGGAAGCGATCAAAGAGTTCGTCGCAGACGCCAAGACAGGTATCAATGTTCTTGACGAAGGAAGGCCCCTCGAAGTCCGCTGAAAGAGAGGCCGAACAGGACGGCCGCAAACGGAAGATGGGGCGGGCGAGAGGTGGAAGCGGAGCGGGAAGGGGGAGTGGGGGAGGACCAAGTGGATGATCGGTGGGAGACGGAGGTCGACGAGGGGCGAGGCGGAGGCGAGGGGATGATTGAGGAGGGAAGGAGCAACAGGACGCGGGGGTGGGACGGGGGTGGGGGGCGGGATCGGAGTCGAAGTAGGAGGGTGAAAGAGAGGAGGAGGATCGAACACACACTTCGATATGTGGTAGACGCCCTGCGTAACTGCCACCATATCTATCGCGCCCTGCCCATAAACCCCCATCCTTGACCATCGACCTCCTCGTCCTAGCGTCGAGCGGGCTGCTCCCGAAGGCGCGCCCTATCGCGAGCGGCGCTGTGAAATGGGGGAACGTGCACGGGCGCAAGAGTAAGCGTGGGAGGAGCTGGGGCTGCGAGGTTAGGAAGCAGGGGGAACCCATCGGGGGGATAACGCTAGTTGAAAGTCGTCCGAAGCTGGAAGAGGATGAGGATGAGGATGGGGAGGGGGCGGAGGGGGGGGGGGGGGGACGAGGAGAGATGGGCGGACGCGAATGGGGGAGGGGGGCGAGGAGGAGGAGGGGGGGGAGGAGGAGAGGGACGATGAGGGGGGGAGGAGAAGGAGGAGGGGGGGGAAGATGCGGAGGGGGATGAGGAGGATGAGGAGGAAGATGTTAATATCACCCCGGGTCCCACTCGGCAAACTGCTGCCCGCTCTCCTTCTCGTGCGCACGACGGAGGGGGTCGGCGGTGCCCTGGAGGTCCTTGACCGCCTGCGCGCCAGAGAGCCACGCCTTCGCCGCCTGCTCATCGAGATCGCAGTCGCACTGCACGAACGGGAGGCCTGCCAGCCAGACCTTGGCACACCCCACAATGAGCCCCACCCGCGAGCGGAACCTGACGTCGCAGAACCGTGCCGCCTCGACCGCATCCTTGAATGACTGCTCGGCGTCCTGCGTCATGGCCGCGCCGTAACCTGTTCCTACTACCAAGTGGTACTGGCCCAGGATGCCGTCACGCTGGCGCAACTCCGCGGCCCAGCTGGCGGTCCAGAAGCTGTCGCCGTAGTTGCCGAAGATCGCGCCGTCGCACATGCGCAGGAACGTGGACATGCGGTCCGCGCGCTGGGCAGCCAACATGCCCTTGACCTCTGTGATCCCTGCCGATGAGATGAACTTGTCGAACAACGACTTCATGTCCGTCTCGAGGTCATGTCCATCCCAGAACTCCTCCAGTAACTTCATGTTCTCGCCGAACGACTGGATGCATTCTGGCACCTTGCTGATTTGGCAATCGGCGTCCTGACGGGAGTCGAGCAACTGGATGGTGGCAGCCGCATTCTGGAGCAACCCGACCACGATCTGGCATTCAACCATGTCAATGCCATTCATCTTCTCGCTCAGTTTCGGCACCTGCTCGCATGCCGCGACCAGGTGAGTGGTCAGTTTGACGCCTGCGATCCACTTCTCGTCATCCCAGCGGGGCTCCTCCTGGGGGCGATCCAGCCAGCCGATCATTGTACCGACGAGCTCCTCGGGAAAGGCAGATGATGGCCAAGCATGTGAAGGAAGGCGACGGGAAGATAGATAAACATTGAGAGGGTGGGGGGGGGAGGACTGACTGAGTAGGGCAGTCGGAGGGGGCGGCAGCAGATGGCACGCAGTCCTGGCCCATGCACAGAATCAGGTCCGCGGAGATCGCCACGTATTGATACAATGGATCGTCGACGATGTCCTTGCACAGGTACCTCGTAGAAAACGGCGTTGCCTCTGAAAGGAGCTTCGTGATGCGGTCGAGGTGGCTCAGCGCGCTGGCGACACGGGACCTCGCATCCAGGGTGGTTGCGTCCTTCCTGGCGTAGTCAACGGCCATGCTGACAGCGTCCACCGTACGTTTCTGCAGGTCTGTACCAGCTGAGTATCCAGCGATGGCTACCTCGACGTCACGAAGGAGCTTCTTGGCTTGCGGCCGCTGCACTGCCGACGAGGCCATCGGCCGCCGGTTATCAAAAATACCACGAATACAATCCGAGGCCGTCTCCAGCTCGACGATTCTGGCGTCACGTCCTCGTCGAGCATGCCCATGACCGTTTTCAAAGCAGACATGTCGCCCTTGAGCTCGGACAATGCCCACGTCGGCACTGAGGACGCGATGCGGAGCAGGTCCTGCTGGAGGAACTTGGGGTCGCCCTGGGCGGCCATGCTGATTTTCATCTTGAGCATGTCCACTGTCATGGCGCGCTGACCTTCTGGTGTCGGGAAGCCAGCCTCAGTAAGCTTCCTGGGCTCTAGCTGCGTCCACATGTGCTCGTCCAGTGGCGCAGCCTTCACGTGACGACTAGGCAGCGATAGCTCGGCTGATCGCGGCGTCCAACTGGCTGGCCCCATCCCCCTCTAAACCCTGAGCCCACCCCCCATGTGCCAAACGCTCCCCAGCCCAACCCCCGTTCAAGGCCACCCTCCCTTCAGCCGCCCGTCCGAGGAGATCAAGGGAGGGCAAAGCGTTCGACCAGATACTTGGGACAGCCACCACTGAACACCGCGACCCAGTCCAGCAATCACATATAGTCAGTCTCGTGCGTGCCTCCACCTGTTTCGCAATGAACTCCTGAAGCATCCAGTGAGGGAAGGGGGCGCTGGCCACTGGCGGAGTGGCCAAAAACATGAAGCTCTGCTTATACGCGGAAGCAAACGCCTTGTCAAAACTCCCTGGCTTCATCCAAGCCTTAGCCATATTCAATGCCTCCTGGCCCTGCTTTCGCAACGCCTGGACTTCATCACTGTCAATGTACAGCTCGGGCGCGTCATTGCCGAGCTCCGCGGCAGCCTCTGTCTCAGACTTGTAGACGCTCTCAGTGACGATCGTGTCTGAGAAATCACTGAATGCCTTGGTCAACTGCCTGACAAAGTTCTGTGCCGAGAAGTACTTCTCGTCTTGGTTCGAGGCGCGGTAGTCGTCTAGATGGGTCAGTAGAGCGGTGCGCCTGTTGCCGCGGGGGCGTCCAGGGCCGCGCTTCTTGGCATCGGGCTCCTCGCTGCCGGCGCTGCTCGACGACTGGGGGCGTTTCTTGCTCGCGCCCTTTGCCTTGACCTTGGCCTTGCCCTTGGGGTCGGCCTTCGTCGACGCCATGCCCCCTTGAGCTGATTGGCTCGCACCGCCCGGGATCAACGAGGGGATGTAGCCAGCCTGGACGCCGCCGAAGACGCTGGGCTGCGCGACCGAGCTCGATGGGGGCTGCGGCGGCGGAGGCACTGGCGGCTGCGATGACGATGGCGCGATGGCTGGCGCAGACGCCTTCGCAGAGATGGGGCTGCCTCGCCAGTGGGGCGAGCGAAGGCCGCGGAGAGGCTGCCCGATAATCCAGTAAAGGCGCGGTCCAGTTGACCATCGAAGATCGCCGTCTCCGAGGTGTGGTGAGTGCGCTCCTGCCCGACCCCCTGGATCTGAATGTGCTTCACCATCCACTCGAGTTTGCCTGGTATCCGGACGCACTGGTGCCCTTCGTACATGATGACCTGATGCCCTTTGCCGTTCGTGTAGGGGTCGCCCATCTCCTCGTGGTAGTCAGCCAGCAACACAATGCGGTCAGGAGCTCGCTCGCTGTGAACCTCCTTTTTTTGTAGGACATGACTTTCTCATCCGCGGCCTTCCAGGTGACCCTGGTCCCACGGGTACCCTTCTCTGAGATGAATACGAGCACGGCCTCGTTCCCCCTCATAAAGAACTCCGTGCTCGACGCGCCGATCACAGGCACCAAGAGAGCACACGTAGCCGTCGATGCCTGCTCGGCGTAGAAGCCTGATTGGGGGGGGGGCGATGGGGGAATGACTCATCCACCATAAGCCTCGGATCCTCCGACGCGTCCACCACTGCCGCCGCTTCGACTTACACTCCTCCAGCTACTGCACTGCCTCCCCCTCGCCACCTCCCCTGGGCCCCCATCCCCTGAGCCCACCCCCCCCTCCTGAGTCCCCGACTTCCCCACCCCCCTGAATCGCATCGCGAAGCTGACTCGTGCTAAATCAACCGATCGCCAGCTGGCTGGACCCCGCCCCGTCCGTCTATCTGGCCCCCGCCCCGTCCGTTCTCCGTCGACCGTTCCCCATTGAAATCCGCGGGGCCTGCGTGCGCCCGCACGCAGTAAAAGCAGAACCCGCCGCGGTTATTGTGCCCCTTCGGCTTGTGGCCCCAGCGCAGGCACTCGAGCGGGAAGACATGGTCAAACTCGGTGCCCCTCCGGCCGCAAAGCCCGCGCTCGCGGCCGCCCGGCATCACCTGGGAGGCGCGCAACACCAGTGAGGGAGGGCGACGGTGGAACAAGTAGAAGGAGGATCACAAGGAGAAGGCGCACAAGGAGCACAAGGACAGGCGCCGGCGCACAAGGACCACAAGGACAGGAGCAGGAGCACCAGGAGCACAAGGACAAGAGCACAAGGATAACTGGATCACAATGGGAAGGACAGGACGACGTTCGACGAAGGAGAAATAGGGCGGGATACGACGGTGAATGGGGCAGCAGACGCGGAGAGAAAGCGCGCGGGGAGGGGGGGGGGGCAGGAGCAGAGAGGAAAAGAAAATTGACGAGGAGAAGGACGCAATAGCAGGCGGAGATAACGCGGGAGGACAGGCGGGAGGAAAGGGCGGTGGACGGAGGAGGAAGACGATTGCGGGTAGAAGGAAGCATGACCTCAACGGAGACGCCGCTCTCGGCCGTCTGCTGCACGACGACCTTCTCGACGTTGTCGGCCCCCCATGAGCCGTAAGTCGCCGCAGAGAGTTCACCGCGGCCGTAGGTGAGGTCAGGCATCTCTGCTTCCAGGTCGCTCATGGCGGCGAGCTCTCGGGAGATCGGAAGAGGGGTCAGGGGGCGGTTCCCTGACGAAGAGCGCGCTCGAGCAATCGAGCTGGGGGGCAGAAACAGAGGGGCCGACTTACAGCGCGTGCAAAACCTGCGACCCCGCTGACCCTGGACCATGGACCGAACGGCGCGTATTAACCATGGACCCCGCGGACATGACAGGATGCCTGGAACGCGGAAATGCCAAGATGCCTGGATTCCCTAGGACCGCCAGCTGAGACCCAGGCGGAACCGCCACGCGTTTCGAACGCCGCATATATCGTCTACCATCCGGCAGGCGAGAGCAAGCATCACGGGAAGGACAGGACACCGCGGAGGAGGAGGAGGGCGCACGCGGAGGAGGGCGAGCAGGAGGAGAGGGAGGACAATGACACGCAGGATGACGGGGAGGAGGATGACGAAGCAGGAAGTGGACGAGGAGGAGGAGAAGGAGTGGCGATGTCAAAGTCGTTCACCAACGCTGAACGGCCCAAGACACCAGCAATGGCATCAGGTCCCAGGAGGTGGAGACGGGGCGAGGAAATTAAGGGCGTCGGAGTAGGAGACACCGTCTTGTGCACAACTCCTCTCGGATGCCACTGGAAGTCGCGAACCCCCGGGCCGTGGCAAACCCGATGCTCGAAAACCAGACTCCCGCGAGTCCCGGCGAACGGCGGGGGGGGTTCATCTAGGCGACGATCGGCGCGCGGCATCTTGTGCTGCGCTAAGAAAAAAACAAGAGAATGCAGTCCAGCGGAGTTCCTCCTACTGTCCACCTCCACCTCTCACGACCCGCCCTCCTCCCCCTCATCGTGCTCACCCTCCTCCTGCAGCCGCCGTCGAATCCGATTAGAGGCGACGCCACTTAGCGACGTCGACCCAATCCCACGAAGGCGGCGAGAGTTACAGCCGCGAAGGGGAACGCGCTGTACGCGTTCCCCACCAAGAGCCTAGCGGTCGTCTCATCCAGGTCAGCTGCGGCGCCGAAGAAGCCGATCAAGCGCAGGAGCAGCTCGCCAGCGATGAGCCTCGTCGGCGGCAGATGAAAGCAGCTGGGGGAGGAGAGATTGGAGACCATCACGACGTTGCGAAATGGAAGGGCGCTACTGGGGTGCGCGCGCGGGGGGGGGGGGGGGGGGGGGGCAGAAGAAATGCAGGTGACGCGATCCAGGAGGGCGGCTTGAGGGGGCAGTGCGATCGTCGATGCTCGGTCATCTTGTTCCTCCGTAATACCTCCTCGCCTCCGCATCGCCCCCATTCCTCATGCCATGCTCTCGACTCCATCAGTGCCGCCCCCGCGCCCGCCGAACCGCGGGCCTCCAATTATGCGAGCCGTCCGCGCCCGTCACGCGGAGCATCAGGATGGTCTTCGTCGTCAATGTGGGCATCGCGTTGCGGAACACCGAACCGTTGCCATCTGCGCCAAGATGGAAACGGAGGGACTGATTGATGTCTGCCCACTGACATGTGCCAGGCTGCGTGGGCCACGGGTCGCAGTCCTCGCCGTGCAGCGCAACCTGGGAAAGCCCAATCGCGCCCGCGGAGAGGGGCGGGGGTGTTGGCCAACGTGAGGCTCGAACCACGCACATCCAAACACCCCCATCAAGGACCGCGCGGAGTTCAGACAAGACGCCAACGCCAATGCCTACAGCTAGCGGGCGTCGGGACCTACAGCGGCCATCCAACCCCCGAGGCAAATGAGAGAGAGGGGGTGCTGAGACCGTTCGCCTGGTGAAAGTAAAAACGGAGGACGGACATCAGAGCGCGAGATGGTGGGAGGGGGGGGGGGGCCTCCTCGTCCGCATGCTACCGCCCTTAGGCAGCACCGCCGCGTCATCCTTCCGATCCTATATAGCCCCTGCCACCACCGCTCCCCCACGGTCCTTCTCCTCCGCCTCCTTCCTAGCATGTCCCTCCTCGGTCTGCCCCTCCGCTTCAGCATTAACCCTCGTGACCTCGATCTGAGCGGGGCAAAGAGCAGCCAGCGCCGTCTGAAGCTGCTTCGGGTAGCTGGACATGTCAGGGGGGTATGATAACCCTGCGCTCTTGTAGTAGCCCATGTGCACCTCCGAAGTACCCTTCACGCGTTCGGGTTTCGGCTCGACCTCGCCCTCGAAGAGGGCCACGTCCTGCCAATCGAAGAACATCTCCAAGGGGAGAGCTGGCACTTTCAGTAACGGCACGATCCCAGCGCACGCTCCCACTGCTGCGCCGCAGCCGTCGTGCAGGAAGCCCACCACCGCCATCCTCACCCTCGTGGCCGGCGAGCCGTAATCAGTGGCGGACACTCTCATGGCCTCGGTGGCGATCGATGTGCGATCCAAGCTCTGCGATCCTCCGGGTGCGGCGCGCTGCCGCATGGGCCGTGTTCAGATTTCGAGCGAAACCATGGTGGCGACGAAGACCATGCGCTTAGCACGAAGCGGCGGGCGGGATGCTCGCACGACAGTTCGATCGTCCATCTGATGACCGCCGTAGCGGCGAGCCGACCTCGATCTGGAGCGAACGCGGGCCCCGTCCTTCATGCTCCTCCTCCTCTAAAGTCGCCGCGCTGTCTCTCATCCGACCGCCGCCTCCTCTACACCCCCTCGGCCTCATCCGCCGTCGGCATCGCGATCTGGAAGCCGAGAGAGCGACGCGAGAGCTATATCCCAAGCTCTGCAAGAACCTGCAGATGGCCACTGAATCTGAACAGAGCCCAGGTTCTCCCTCGGCCATCAGGCTGGCGAGGTTCTCGAGGACTACCAAGGTTGGCCTCGCGCGGGCCAGGTACTTCTCAGTGTGCGCCCACGCCGCTCCCGTAGCCCCCTCGCCTGTCTGCGCGGGCGACAACCGCTGGCCGCGAGTGCGGGAGTGCAGCGGTACCTTCGTCGTGCAGGTAAATCCAGCTGCGAAGACGTCCACGGGCGGGACAGGGATCTTCTCGCCCGAATTCAGGTCGAGCGCGCGGGGCTCGGACAACCTCGGCACGCGCCGAGGGCGGGGCGGGCGGCGCGTGCCATCGCCGACGCCACCCTCGCCATCCCGAAGCCGTGGCCGCTGCCAAGGACGGCGCCATCGCTCCTCTCGATGCCACCGCCGCTGCCAATGTCGGCGTCGCCGATCATGCGCCGTGCCGATGCCGCCACTCCTCCCCACGTCGTCGTCGTCGACGTCGCCCTCCCCGCCCTATGCAACGACGCCGCGGACGGCGCGCAACGCCTTGCCACCCCATCCGGCAGCAGCGATCACGCGATGCCATCCCCACCCGCCTGATAATACGTGATCACATCCCCCAACCCACCCGCTCCCACTGATCTCAGCGATCCCGAGACCCCCACTCTTTCATGTCGGCGAACAAATGCTCTGTCGAGGGGAACTCCTGCGTCAAGAACGCTTGCTGCAGATGCCCCTTCTCGCACTGGAAGATGAAACGGAACGATGCCTTCTTGTCGAACCTGGTGTCCCATTCGGCTGAAGGATTCCAGTATTTTCGAAAAGACGTCGCCCCCGCTGAACCCTCAGGGGACTGAATAACATGGGCCTGCCAACAACGCGCAGTACAGCGCTCGCGGCGAGGGCGACATGCAAGGGCAAACCGCCCGACATAAGCGCCGCGCTCCCAGGCAAACCGCTCATCGCGAACGGATTACCTGGGAGCAGCGCGCCCATGTCGACGCATGTCGGGCAGTTCGCCTCTTGACTGCCTTTGGGCGGAGGGGGGGGGGGGGGGGGCGGCGATGGGGGGGGGGGGTGGGGGGGGGGGCGGGGGGGGGGGGGGGGGGGGGGAAGGGAGAGCGGGCGGGGGGGGGCATGGCGAGGGGGGGGGGGAGATGGAGGAGGAGAGCGAGGAGGTGAACGAGGAGACGGAGGACGAGGGGTGCGGACGGTCACCCTCCGCCTCCTCCTCAGACTGCTCCTCCGCCTCCATCTCGTCCGCGTCCTTCCCCCCCTTATCGTTTTCCCTGCCTAGGCCCTGCCTAGAGGGGTTCCTACTCTCTGGGTTTACAGCGGCCGGGCAGTGGAAAGCGCCCGGGGCGGTTCCCCCAGTGTCCGCCCCACGGCTCCCCCAGTTACGCCCCCTTAGCTTAGCGTTGCTGATGTCATCTTAGCGTAGTGTATTCTCTACCTAGGCTCTGCCTAGAAAGGTTCTTACCGCGGTGGCTTAAGAAGGGCCGGGCAGTGGTAAACGCCCCGGGCGGTCCCCCCAGGATCCGCCCCGCGGCCCCCCCAGCGACGTGCCCAAAGCTTTTGCGTTGCTGACAGCATCGTAGCGAAGCTAATTTCAGCTCAGCGTTGCTTAGCTTCATGTTAGCCCAAGGTTGTCTTAGCTTAGCGCACCGTCATCGTAGCCTCGCTGAGCGTTAGCATAGCAGAGCACAGCAGAGCAGAGTATAGCGTAGCATCGCATAGCGCAGCAAAGCATAACATAGCAAAGCCCAGCATAGCATCGCGCATCTTAACACATCATATCATAGCATGGTGGGGCATAGCACAGCGTAGCATTACATAGCATAGCTTATCATAGCATGGCTTAGCATCTTATCGCATAGCATATCATTGCAGAGCGCAGCACCGCATAGCACAGCATAGCAGTGCATAGCGCAGCATAGCATAGCGCAGTCGAGCATGGCATAGCTAGCGTAGCATAGCATAACAAGGAATGCTGCTTTCCTAGGGGCTCCAACGTCTAGGTAGGGTCGCACTGGTGTATTTTCATCTTAGTTTAGCTTCATCTTAGCTGAGGTTTATATTGGCTTAGCGTACCTTTCTCTTAGCTTCGCTGAGCTGCAGCATAGCTTAGCATAGCGTAGCAGAGCACAGTGCAGCATCACATATCATGGCATAGCCCAGCATAGCACAGTACAGTACAGCGCAGCACAGCATAGCATTGCATAGCATAGCGCAGCACAGCATAGTACTGCGCAGCATAGCATAGCATGGCATATCACAGCAGAGCATAACATAGGATAGCAGCAAAGCAAAGGCAAAGCAACAGCACCGTCAACAAA